GTCTTACAATGAAAGTGGCAGATGGTTCTAATATTCCAGTGGTGGGTATTGGCATTGTGAAATCTGATAGGATATCCCTCCCACATACATTCTACATTCTATGTACCTAAGCTAGTTCCTAGCCTAGCTCGTTGGTTAGTTAGCAAATGCAGGCTTCCGTGTTATCTTTGATGCTCATGGTTGTGTTGTGTAGGACATGAGGGCGAGACAGAAGTTTGGGAGAGGGAGTAAACTAGGTAGAGTTTTTATGCTCAATAGTTTTTCATGTCATCCGTTGGATCGTGGTGGTTCTTCTTCTCAAGTGGCGATTCAGAGTTTGCATGGCGCTAGTGCGAGCATACCCTGTCCGTCGGATGATATTTCACATTATGCTTTTTTGTTAATGATATTGGTTATTCTATCGGATTAGGATTTGTGGCATTTTCGGTTGAGCGACCCTCATAAATCAAGACTTTTTTATATGTTTAAGAATAAATGAATGTCTAGTGATGTTCGCTCAATCCCACCACGCGACTGTATTCAATGTGTGCAAGCTAAGATTACCCAATGCTCTTTTGGGGATAGTTCGACAGTCTATGATTAACTTTTTGATCTAGTTCACACTGATGTCTGGGGTCCTTCCCCTATGACTCTCGTCTTGGTTTTCGATATATCACGCTCTTTGTTGACCACGTTAATCGATTTATGTGTGTCTACTTTATGCGACACAAGTGTAAACTCCTTGGAATGGATCACAAGTTTACCCAAATGGTTTCTACTGAGTTTGGCAAGACGATCAAGATCATTCTCTCGGATCCAGAAGGTGAATTTTTATATCATCCATTACAGGACATGTTTCGTTAGCATATATTGTCCCTTAGCAGTCATGTCCGGTGTTTCACAACAAAATGGGTTAGTAGAACGTAAACACCACCATGTTCTGGAGCTTACTCGAGCACTATTATTTCATTCTCGTGTGCTTCTTACTTTCTGGGTTGAAGCTATTCATATAGTGATTTACTTGATCAATCTTCATATAACTTTGATCCTTGATCAGTGTAGTCCATATCAGGCTCTTTTCTCTCGTCTTCCGGATTATGCATGGCTTTGGGTTTTCATTTTGTTATGTACTTCATCCTCGTTGGAAGCTTCATAAACTTTCTCCTAAGGCGGCAAAATGTGGGTTTGTTGGTTATAGCGACAAGCATAAGGGCTATGCATGTTATGATGTTGAGAATCACCGTCTTCGCATCTCGTGCCACTTCTTCTTCCTAGAGCATATGCTCTATTATGGTTCGGAGGATCTTCCTGACAGCTCTCAGTGAGATTTTTGGGTGCTCTTCCCACATTTTCTCCTTCTCTTCCTCCAGCGGGTCCTCCTTATGATGATCTGCCTCCTCTTCGTCCTCGTCTAGCTCCTTGGGTTCCTCTTCGGCCTCCTCCAGCTCCTCTTCGTCAAGCACCTCTTCCTCGTCTGCTGAGTCAGGTTCGTCTAATGCTCCAGGTGGTGATGCTTCTCTTCTTAGGTAGTCCACACAAACCACTCACAGTCAAGCTCTAGCCCGCCACTCTAACTTTGTAGCCTACTCGGCTACTCTTTCTGTCTTTGTCCTCGCCACCTACAAGCAACCGCGTGGTCCGGATCCTTGGGAGAATGTGATGGACATAGAAACTCAGGCTCCGGAGGATAAACATACTTGGGATCTTGTTCCTCACCTGCCTAATGTCACGATTATTGGCAACAAGTAAGTGTATGCTCTGAAGTGTTTCCCTTATGGATCTATCAAACGCCATAAGGCTCGTGTGGTGGCTTAGAGATTTAAGTAGCATTATGGTGTTCACTATGAGGAGATGTTCGCTACTATTGCCAAAATGTTGACTGCTCGCAGTCTCATTGCCGTTGCCGCAATGAAAGGTTGGACTTTACTTCAACTGGACGTCAAGAACGCTTTCTTACATGGTGATCTGAAAGAGTCAATCTATATGGGACGTCCTCTCGGGTATTTCAAGGGAGATAAGTCGATGGTTTTCCTCCTCTGTCGTTCTCTCTATGCCTTGAAGTAGGCTCTTTGTGCATGGTTTGAAAATTCTAGGCTACCATTTTGATTGTTGGATTTATTCAAAGTGAGAACGATCCTTCTCTTTTCCTTCGTCCACGGACCCATGTCTCACTGTTCTCCTGATTTATTTGACGACATGGTGCTTAGTGGTGATGATCAGGATGGTATTAACTCCCTTACTTCGACTTTACGAGCGGTATTCAACCTCAAAGAACTGGGTTTGTTATCATATTTCTTGGTCTTGGAGTTTGCCCGCTCGGCTTTTGGGATTCATGTTTGTTAAGAAAAATATATTGTTGATATATTGGAGGAAAGGCAGATGGATGAGTGTGATCCTTGTGGGACTCTTATGCAGCAAAATTTGAAGCTGACCTAGTCGACATGTGAATTGTTGGATAATGTCACTACTTCAGTATAGTGGGTAGTCTCATCTACCTCACTCACACTCGTCCTGACATAGCATATGCGGTCCAACTTGTCAGCCAGTATATGTCGGCACCTCGCACATGTCATTGGCTTGTTGTGCAGCAAATTCTGTGGTATCTTTGTGGCATTCCTACAGTCGGTTTGTTCTTTCCTGTGAGTAGGGATACCATTATCACGTCATATGTTGATGTCGATTATGTTGGTTGTTTGGACACTCGTCGCTCCATGTCTGGCTGGTGTGTGTAGTTTGGAAATTCTTATGTCTCTTGGCGCCGTAAAAACAAGGCCGAGTGGTGAAGTCATCCACGGAGGCTGAATATCGATCTATGATTGAGGCTGCTTCTGAACTTGGCTGGCTACAACACTTACTGGTGGATTTTGGAGTGGTGTGTTGCAGGCATATCTAGATGTATACTGATAATACGATGCGGTTCAGATTGCTACCAATCGGATTCTCCATGATGGCACTAAACACATTAAAGTTTATGTCCACTATATTTGTCAGTTGGTGACTGATGGGGTCTTTGAGTTGGTTTACATTACCTCAGAGGATCAGACAGCTGATTTGTTGACTATCACAAATTGATGTTGCGTCAGCACTAAGCACCATCAATTTGAGGGAGAGTGTTAGAAGTTGAGGTACCATTCTGTAATTTTCCTTGTAAACATTTGTTATCGTGGAGGAGCGTAGGGCTAAAGATCGTTGGTTGTATATATATGTTGATAGCCGAGAATGAGGTGAGTTAGATTGGTAGAATATAACATAATAATAAGATCACTCGCCATGTGCCGTAAACTAGTCTCAACATTCACACTTTGGGAAAAAACACATAAATTCGGTGGTGTGCATTGTTTATCGTTTAGGTTCGGGTTGTGATTAATAACCAATACTACATGCATCTTACGTCTAGATTTAAATAACTAATGCAACACCAAACTCTTATTAGCTAGAAATTGAGCCAACGCATGATTACAAGCATGTGTACATGTATTCAAATCACAATTTTCATAATTTGCTAACTGGTGATAATCAAAACATGATTAATTAATAAGTAAATCAAATAATTGAAAGGATAGTTTAATGATAAACCTAAGAACTTCTGGAATCAAAACTTCGGTCATAAATTAATCAAATGCCCTGAGGCCCCTGACTATGGAGATATGGAGTAAGGACAAACTCTAATTTGTTGGGCCTCTCAACGAGTATAGGATCCGCTGGATTATTTGCTGCAAAAGATAGATAACATAAAGTGAAATCAAAGAGGGTCGAGTTTAGGGATTGGAAGTTTGGGAAAAACCGTTAAGGAGATGAAGGAAGAAGATTGATACGACCCTGGGGGTTGTATATTATCAAAGTTACGCAGCAATACGATCAATCCAAAGATTGATTAAATTCGAATCGAGAACAACGCGTTCTTAATACGAAAATTGGATAAAACGGAACCAACGGACAATTCCACACCTGGGGAAAGCTCGTATGGTATAAAAGGGTAGTTGCTTGACCATGATTGAAGGGAATATTCAATCGATACAAAGCTCAGCAAGTTTGGAATCCACCAAACCCAAAACAAGTTCGCAAACTTGCAAAACCAAACGGTTTCTTTTCTATTCAATCAACTCTTATGTTTTTACAACGAAAATAGAAGAGTATTTAAAGGCAAATAAACCTAGTACAAACCTATTGTACCTAGGAAACAATTAAGGTAAAAACAAACTCTTAAAACAGTACAAAACTCGGCCACAAACTTCCTTTCTTGGCACACAAGTAAGCTGCAAGCAAAACAGTCAAAAGCAGCTTTTGTACTAACTTTACACCTTTCGTTCGAGGCCTTCCAGAACTCCAATCCTTCATCCGATTTCTTCTCTTGGTAGATAAACAATCCTACTTTCATGTTGTAGAATCCTTTTAACTTGAATCCCATCCATGCTCCTTGAATTGAGCTCCAAAGTAGGCTTCACAAAACAATTTTCTGCCTTAGCCATTTTCTGGAAGTTTTCCCGTTTTAAGGTAGCAACTTCGAGGCCTTGGAAAACAACCTTAATGACATCATCTGGATCCACAAAGCATATAATTGGAAAGATGAAAACTTTTTTTTATGAAGGTGAAATTTTATTGCAGAAAAGGAACACAGGAGAAAAAGTACAGGACCAGAACAATGCACAGGCACAAGGAATGCCCGAAAAAGTGAAAGAAGACAGGAGACAAGCGCTAGACCAGCCAGAAGATCCCTGCGCCGACTGTCAAAATGAAACACACAGAGTACAAAGCGGATACAAACAGGAGCCAAAACGAGGCTTTGTCTATATCCCACCTGAAAAGAAACAAGAAAGCTCAAACTGAAAGAAAGCAAAGTGCAGACAGGAAGCACAACACTACTGGGTCAGGTGCAGTCGCATTCGAAGCCAAGAAGAGGCAGTAGCGCGATCAATTTTTCCTTTTGCAACTATCCAGCTTGTAATGTTCTTCAAGACTCTCCTGGCTGTCTGACTTGGATCTTTAGAGGTGTTGTTAAACATCCTATGGTTACGTTCCAGCTATATGAACCAAGAGACGGCATTAAGCGCGCAATAATAGAACCATCCATCCAAACAGTCAGGAACATCTCTCTGCCAATCCTTGATGATGGAACCGATATTCCCACTAAACCTGAAAATAATCTTGTTGCAGCTTCTCATGATCAAGCTCCACACCTGTTGAGTGAAGCTACAAGAAGTGAAAAGGTGATCAGCTGTTTCAGCATCTCTGTAGCATAATTCGCACCGATTGGCAAGACTCCAACCATGTTTCTGCAGCATGTCCACCATCAATATCTTTCCGTGAGCCACCGTCCAAATGAAAAAGGAAATCTTCGCAGGTATCAGCTTCCTCCAAACCGACGCCGAGGGGAAATCAGAGACGCCCGGGCATTTAAGCTTGCTGAGAGTTCCATACATAGAGTTAACCGAGTATCCTTCTTCTGGGTTCGGGGTCCAAACCAGCCTGCAAGGGCTATTAGCACTACTGATAAAATCAATGGAACCAAGTAAAGAGAGTAAATTGATCCTTTCCTGTTCAGCCCCCCTACGAAGATCAAAAGTGATGTTTAAATCAAAATAAACAATGCCACCTGAAAGTTTCACGACGTCCTTAACCTTGAATTTCCACCAATCCAATTGAGAGAACTATGCCTCCAAAGTATGTACCCTGAACACGGATTTTGACTTAGCCAAATTCTGCCTTTCTTCTTCCCAACTTCGATAGCTTCTTTGTCAAGTAATTGTGATTTGAATGGTTGGCAATTTGGAATCATATCAAAGATCGTGACGAAGGAGAAATCCTTTAGTGGTTTCTTTCTTAATCTCCCCTTCAGTTTGGGCCCGGAACTTCACAAAGCCCACTCGAATTCTATGAACTAAGAACTAAAGTTGAGATGGGCTTGGGGACTAGTGAGCCCAGCCGAACAAGACAAAATAAAGAACACTATAGTCTGTTTTCTTCCTTGGATCAAAATCCTTGGAAAAAAGAGTATTGGTGTGGAAGATGAAGCAAGAAAAGAAAGATGCAGAAATCTGAAGAACACACAATATTTTTAACGTGGTTCACCCTGGTGCAATGGGCTACGTCCTCCCCTACGACTCTATTTTTATTTTCTTTGATAATCTAACTTACACGTACAAATAAAAAATCGAAATGGAAACTCAAAGAAGAAAAAATGCTAGAAGTAGATCAGAATGATGAATAGACAACCCAAATTCCAATCTCTGGAATTTGTATCAGCCACTATCAAAGAACCTCTTCCCCTTTGCTAATTCCTTTTGATTTTGAAGCTCTTTTCCGCTTTCTCACAAAAGTACCTTGAGGCATGAAGATCCAGTTCCTTTTATAGACGAGGAGATGAGTGAATGATGATTTGGTGAGTTGGAGACACTTCATCCTTCCTTTTTTGCAATGCTTGATTAAAGGTGTGATTCTTGAGCTGTGATTGTGCAATCAATCAATTAATCAAGATTAATTGATTGATTTTGACTTGATACCCAAGCTTCTAGTAATAATGTTTTGCTCCCAACAAGACTGTCTCTGATTTCCCAAATCTTTCTGCATAAACCCCAACAACGGTTAGAGTAACAGCTGAAATGTTGGTATGATGCAAATTAATGTTGTCGCATTAAAATTTATGATAATTAATATTTTGTGTTTTCATAAATAATTTACCTTTCAACAATTGTAAGTATTTTACGATCTTATCTTATTAGTCACCAACAAAGAGAAAACAGTTACAATATATAATGTAATATAAACTCAATCGTCTAATTCACTAAGTAGGAAGATCTATGTGTAACTGGTATAACTACCCATCGTGATCAGAAAATACAAATGATTTTACAACCACAACTAGCAGAGAATTATCTGATACATATACCCCTCGCTTATTTATCCTACATCAAATATGATTAACATTTGCATATACACAATTTGACAAAAAAAAAATTGTGTAAGTGGAGACGAATTAATTTTTCAGCATTCACGTACAAGGGGCGGACCCAGGGGTTTTAGGGGTGTCTCCGGACACCCCCTAAATTTCGGAAAAATGATTATCCGACCCCCGATGGTAATTTAAGTATAGAAAAAAAATATATAATTGATAGTGAGGGACACCCCTGAAATTTGAAAAAATGATTATCCTACTGTCATTTGTGTATAAAAATATAAATGGTAGGTTGGGTAATTCAAATCTAGAACACTATTATTATTAATAAACTTAATTTTCGTTGAGCGACAACTCATTTGGTGTTCGATTTTGAACAATGTGTAATAGTAAAAAGTCATTCCCTATCTCTAATTATTTCAATCTAAACAAATTTCAATCTAACCTTAATTTGTATTGATTTTATGATTATACGACAAGTGTTGAAGAGTCTCTCAGCTTTGGGTTACATCAAGAACAAGTTTACAAATCGAATATGCGATAAATTCCTGAATGATTGTCTAGTAGGGTATATAGAGAATTTTTTTAACACTATAAACACCAAGTGTATTCTATAATTATTTTCGAATATGAAAACACATCATGGACTTTTTTTTAACCTGTACGAGTAAGGTATTTTCATATTTACGATTTTATTTTTATTAATTATTTTTATTTTTATTTAATTTATTTTTTAAAAGAGAACACCCCTATGAAAAATTTCTGGGTCTACCACTGCCTACGTCGACACTTTTTTACTTTGAACATCATTCGGTATTTGGTTTTGTTGTTTTATGATTTTATCTTTTTTTTCACCCTTTGACAAAGAAAGAGAAAAAACTTCATATATATACATATGTGAAAGGTATGTTTTGAATATATTTTACGCGTGGTGTTTGTAGTGTACCCTAAACCTGTGGTTGACCAAATGGTTGAAGCAATCAGTTCCGAAAGTCAAACAAAAAGAAAACAAAAGATTAACTGAAAAATCAGATTCTATTAGGACATATCAATTAGTGAATAAAAAAATAACATCGCATGATTATAAGAAGAAATAGGTACAGGTGCCGTTGTTCATACATTGAACCTGCCATATCCATCCATCCGACGTTCAATCTTATAATAATTTTTTTTCAATAGCCACACTGAGATTATGTTCTATTTAAATTGTTAATAAAAATATCTGAACAAGTAAACTCATACCTTAGAATTAAAAAGACAAACTACATATAGAGGGAAAATAAGACATGAACTAATTATTCATTTAGCAAACTTTTGTTCAGACTTGTTGGGTGTGAGCTTATTCCTAAAACTTTTGTTCTTCACATATATAAAGATTATCATCCAAACCTTTGTATTTAATTAGAGGTTAGATAATTGATTGTGGCTTATTGTAGAGTTTACCTGCAGCAAGTTTATATTATGGTTTTATAAGGCCATGTTGGTGGAAGGATATTGACATATATTTCTTGTTATAAATTGGGAGAGAACAACAACCCAACAAATAGGGAAAGAGACGAGGACGAAAAACAATTAGCATGAGGTAGGTGAAATTTTGATGCATATTTTCTTTAGAATTGTGTCTCCAATAAGGGTGCCAACAATGGCACTTCTCTCTTAGAATACACAATATTTCCTTCATGCTCTTGGTGCCGTGTTTATTAAGTCATATGCTATAGTAATAGGATTCCTCTCCCTCCCTCCTCCCTCTCTCTCCCCGCCACAATCTAAAGTCTAAATCTAAAAAATATACGATGTTGGAGTTTTGCAAGATTTTCACAATTTGAAATTTCCATGCTTCTCTTTAATTGTAGATAGGGTAAAAGAGTAATTATATTTTGACTTTAAAATAAATAAAAATTATCTCCTTATTTTAGGTAATGCACGCAAAAAACTAGGGGAGAGAAGAGATTTTGGAGAATAAAATAATATAAAAGATGTTTAACATTTTTAAAAAACATTTACATTTTTACATTACCGTTACGTCTATTTTTTGAAATAATATTGGATTATTGAACTCTACAACTAATATAAAAAAGATCTATAATTAAAAAAGTCTTTTATTTGTACTATACCTTCCTTCATTTTATGCTTTTGGAAAATAATTTAATTTCATAATCAATTTGTAACCCTTAACTAATATGTTTTTTATTGTGTATTATAAATGAACTGGGTGTTTTGTTTTTATGTAAATTTTTTGTAAACTAATTTTCATGGGAAAATTATTTTTAAGGTTATAGAAATATAGGTACCAATTGATAATTGAGTACTAATTCACCGGGAAAAATATTGCTACAAATTAAGTTTTTTAATTGAAGAAAATGAAGTTGTGTTTTATGTTAGTATTTAATTAACATGATGGTGTGATAGAAACTCCAAAATGCTTATCGAGTACAGAGTCCGGTTATGGATCATATAGCTGGTTTACAAACTATAAATATTACTAATAAAAAATTAAAATAAATGAGGATGGTGTTGATAATCACTTTTGTTTTCTTAATATCTTAGTTTTTTATTTCATTTTTATTTTAGCTATATTCTTAGTTAAGATATCCGTCTTTTTGGAGTGGTTCCTATTCTCTTTTCTTTTTGTCAAAAAATATCATGTATTGATCGAAAAAATAGATAGTTACACCCTGGAAGCCAGCCAGGTCTGGAAATCAAAGAAGCGACTCATAGTCGGATACAAAGAGAGGGCTTTCGTAGCTACCAAATGAGCTACCCTACTGTTCTCCTGACCTACAAAACGCACACTAAAACCACGCTGAGTACGAAAAAAATGAACAATCTCTTCCAGAACCGCACCCAACCGGTTATCTCTTGTGTCGGCTTGATTAATTTTGTCAATAATCACCTTTGCATCGCCCTCAAATCGGACCTCCGACAAACCTTGCTGCAAACACCAAATAATAGTTTCCCTAAGCACAAGCAGTTCCACCACTACAGGATCATCCATTTGAGAAAACTGGACCCCTCTAGCCAGAAGGAGTGTCCGCATTGGGTCAAAAAGAACCATCCCACCAGCCGAGTGTGACCCACCCTTAGTAGCTCCGTCCCACATGCAAACCAAATGGGAATCACTCACATGTGTTGTAGAGTGCATTATCAGGATTGGAGTCCTAGGCGCCTGGTCCGTTGGTAAACCCACCCATTCCTCACATTGTTGGTTAAACTGTCGCATGAGCGTCGGGATCCCAAATTGTTTGCCTTCAAAGACTACCCAATTCCGAGATCGCCAGATCCTCTAAAGGATGGCAACACCAGCCATAACCATAGACGGTTGACTGATCAATCCCGACAAACGTTTGAGAAACAAAGGAAAAGTATGCCTAGGCAAACCCTCCCCCAAGTAATCCAGCCCAGAATAATCCCAGAGGGCCCGCGCAACCGAACAATAAAGGAACAGGTGTTCCACTGTCTCCGGGCTATCCCAACAAACTGGACACCGAGGTAACACCTGAACCTTTTTCTCAATAAGGGCCTCCGTAG